TTCGGCAAACACCGCATCGGCAAATCGATACGTAGTACGTTCCATGTAGAAAACCGGTTCCCCGCTTATATATAAGCTTAGTAAGTTGAAAAACAATGAGAGATACAAAAAGGAATCGCGCCAAGCGTAAATGTTGAAGCACATTAATTTATTATTCTTGGCATCGACGGGCTCGTAATTATTTTTTTTTTTTGTTTACTGCTTTTATTTTTATTTTCATTTTCCCTCCTCCTCCGGCCCCCCCCTCTTTTTAAATTTTTTTATTTTAAATGCATAAAGGTTTTTTTTTACACTCTGTGTATGTGGTATTGTTGTTTTGTGGTTTCTTCTTGCATTAAAACAAAATTGAATTATTCGTTTGATATTATCAATGAAAACGAATAAATGCGTGCGCGCGCGCGCGCCTTCATTAAAGGATAAGCAAAATCCCAAATCAAGATATCTCTAATGATATTTTTTAAAAGGAATAAATTTAAACTAGTTATTTTCAACTTATTACAAGTTACGAGAAAGCTAAATCGAATTAACGTTTGCAATCCAACTATTAAGGATTTGTGAACGTTGATAAGAAATTTTGTTTAAAAGGAAGAGATCTCGTTTCATTTCTTACGCGTTGAACGTTTGTTCCATTTAATATCTTTATCTGGATTAAACATAATCTATAGAAGAATATTTTCTAATTATTTTCTTTCGAATGAAAAAGGTTTAAAATATGTGATTCGAGGAAATAAGCACAAATGTTGAAAAAATTATTATTATTAATAATAATAATAATTGCAAAGAGAATAAAAGGGATTTGGCACAGTCGCGTGTACGTCCTTTTCAAAAAGGACCCACGGTTAAAAATATATATATATATATATAAATTGTTTTTTGTCTTGCAGATTAGTTACAGCTGCCTAATACTTTCCTTCGTCGTAGATTAGCATTTCCCGTTATGAACGGTCGTGGGCAAAGTACGCCGGTAGTTAGAAAGAGAAAACCATACGCCATAATGAACTTTACATTTAATGAGTTAAATATCTTTCCTAACGTGAAACGCGATATTTCTATGAGAAAATCCTAATAATATTATCATCATTCTAATAAAGGAAATTTTTATATTAATTTAAAATCTAGACAAGATTGTGTGTGTGTGTGTGTATGGATTGAAACGTTTCGATACCACGTCGAAAGATATAAAGTGAGAGTTTGAATCGAAGAAATAAATTGTTTCTATTTGTCGGGCTCAAAATTTTTCAACCAACCCACGTATTCGTCGTGAAAGATGAACGATCGCTTTCTGTTTTCTCCTATTTCTTTTTTTTTCTTTTTTAACGACAATTTTAAAATTTGAAATATTCGGTCAATTTTACTAAATTTAGAAATATTATAAATTTTGATATAAAATACGATAGTCACAATGTATGAATATTTTTAAAATGTTGTGCAAGAGAAGGCAAATATTTTTTATACGAGGAGGGTAAGTTGAAAAATTTAGAGCCTATTCTTTTCTGAGAAAAAAAAAATTTTTTCGGACCACGTTGAAAAATAAAAGTGAGAGTTTGATCTGAAAAGAAAAAGATAAAAGAAACAAATTGTTTCTTTATTAAAATCTCGAAACTTTTCAACCCATTCACGTATACGCATATACACATACATGTTGTAATATACAAATGTAGAAATAATAACGTTAAGTAGAAGAAGAGAAATAGATTTTTTATTGAATATTCAGAGCGTTCGGTTAGTTTGTTGGTCGGTAGGTTTATTGGTTGGTTGGTTTGTTGGTTTGTTGGTTGGGTTCGGTTGGGTTCGGTTGGGTTGGGTTGGTTGGTTGGTTGGTTGGTTGGTTGGTTGGTTAGTTCGAAGGAACGCGAGTTTAAAGATAAAATGAAATTACGCAAAGCGATGCCAAAGTTTTTTTATACACATTTATAAAAAGGTTTTTCTATATTTATATATATAAAATCCTACTTGTCGAGTTATATTACACTTCGTAAAGATTTCTCGATTTACCGTGTGCATATCCTCTTTTATTCCAACCTTTTATATCTCCAACGTTTTTCCTAAAGCTTTACTAGGTGCTTCGTTTTATGTACGTACATACATACATACATATGTTTTCAATTTCAAGGTCCGACAAGTTACTCCAATAGTATTCCACTCTTTTTTTATATAGATACCTCATGTATTTTCAAAACATTTCTAAAATTCGAGCTGACTTAAAATCGATCTAATTACAAGCAAGCTATCTTCAAAGCGTTTATTACGAGTTCGGAAAGATTATTCTCTTTTTTTTTTTTTTTTTTTGATACAACTTCACGCTTTCGAAACGAATTTTTTTTTCGTTCCAAATACTCGGTACGTTTTCGAACGGGAACCATTGTTCAAATGTTTTATTATTTCCTTGAAAAGTTTCGAATTTTTGTCAAGGTAGCGAGAGAGGAAAAGTGTGGATTGAAAAGTTTTGAGTCACAATAAAAAAAACTTTTATATTTTCTTTTTTTTTTTTTTTTCTTTTCTTTTTTTTTTCGAAAGAAGAGGAATGATACAGGCTCAAGAATATTTGATTATTTTTTTTTTTTCGGAGTAATACAATTTCGTCGGAATGAATTGATTTTTAGGTTAAAAAAACAAAATGGTGGTCGATCGTTGCTCGCAACATTGACGATGCCGACTGAGAACTTTCTAGGCAAAAATTTTAATTATTTTCAATATCTTATTATTTTTCAATCATGGAATGAGAGATTTCTAAACGGAAATTTTTTTTTTTTTTTTTTTTTTTTTTTTTTTTTTTTTTTAAACAAAAAAAAGAAGTTTAATCGAAGAAAAAGTATTGTTTCTGTGTTAGATTTAAAACTTTTCAACTCACTCATGTATATTCGGAAAAATGTTATTCTCGGTAGCTTGGGTTACTTTTTGTTATTCTTTTTTTCTCGTTTACCGTTTTATATCGTAGAAGAACGGTATTTTATCGCTCGATGCTTTATTTGTTAGTATCGTTTAATCATTAACGTTTACAACGCGAGACGTTAACCTCTTACGTTTGCACTTAATTGCTGACTACGCGGAATGTGTTCAAGTATTTCTATCCATTTTGTTTTTTAATAATTGTTTGTAAGTAATTTTCATGATTTTTTATCTTACAAACGTTATTAACTATTTTAAAAAGCAATTGTTGATAATCGTTCGCCATTGATTTTACGAAATATCAAATATCGACAGGTATTTCAGTTTTACGAACAATTTTGACGTGTTATAAAAATATTTAATGATTCCTATAATAGGATTCGATTACAAGCTTGTTGTAAAAATATTTAACAATTGGAGTTTACATTTCTTTTTTTTGCTTCATCGTCGGACGGAAGAGCAATTAACGCAACACCGACGAATTTGTATAAAACGTAGGGTAAATCATTTTTTTTTCTTTGTTATACTTGTTTATTTTTTTCGATCGTAAATGATTATTTTCTTCTAAATGAAAAAGAAAAAAAAATACTTTTTATTAATTTAACAAAGCGGTAAAATCTCATCGAAAAAGTTAACTCGGTGGTAAGTTCGTAGAAGCAAAAATAAATACATACAGAGTTAGTTTTCCACTTATGAAAACTTTGAGAAAAAATATATTTAGAATTTATCAAACTTTGTTAGAGAAATGTTACATTTGACAGAGAAAATTTGTTAAATTGAAAGTTCGTATTTTTGTTCGGTTTTTTCCTGGTTGTTCAGCCATTATTCGAGATTTTAAATATATTCATCAAATACAAGGGATAATAGAAAGTCGGAAGTAAAATTCACGTATATACAGAGGAGAGACAAATTTTCTCGAGGGTTCTTCTTCGTTTCTTTCAACGAAATGCACGCATATATAAATATAACACGATGAGAAAAATAAATTCAACGCAGGAAAACGTTTTTGAAACACATACACATACTGTACACGAATACACAAAACGATGTTACATCAGATTTTCGGAAAAGCATATGATAATAAATAATGTATAAAATACGATTATTTATTAGTATTTAGAGAATGTTTATTACGATTTCCTCGAAATCAAATTAAAGGGAAAAGATAGGATTATGAAATCTAAAGCTATTGTTTGTGTATTGGACACCGTTCAAAAGGGAATACCAATAAAACAAGTTTGCATTATTGGATCTATTCTATTAATCTATCGATTGATAGAAAATTAAATATTTAAACGTTCGATCGTTTTGAGATATAATTCTCGAAACATAATTTCTTGATTATCTTATGCGATTTGAACGAGGACAAAAATTATTTGCGTATACATGTTAATATGTAAATATTGAATGCATTAAGTTAACGCATTATATTTTCCTATTTTAAAAGTATAAAAATACGTCGGAGAAAAACCTAATTTCTACTTGCATTCTACTTTAGAGACCCGTATTCTCATTAAGTATTGGAATTAAAAATGTTAATGTATGATAATTTTTACTACATATTCGTTCGAGTAAACAGACCCTACCTACGCAATGACTTATCGTTTTGCATTGAAAACGTTCATCGTTTCAATGAGATAAGCAAACCGTTACTGGATTGGTCGTTTTACATTTCAAATTAATCTAGATGTAGTATCGATTTGCTTGAATTTTTAACGATTTTTATCAATTCGGGAGGAGTCAAGTGCGACGGGTTTTTCTTTTTCTTTTTTTTTTTATTTTTTTTTTTTAAGATTATGGATACTACTTCAAGTCGCGTAGAAAATTTAGTGTCGACGCGAAAGGGTTGATTTTCATACGATCGTCGTATTTTCGGGATCGTGAATGTTCGACCGAGATCGGTTGGGTTCGTTCGAGATCGCTCCGATCCGTTTGAACGAACGACGCGGCTCGACGGCGGCACGGTGGTGTAGTGGTGGTGGTGGTGGTGGTGGTGGTGGTGGTAGCGGTAGCAGCAGCAGTGGTGTGTGGTGGTGGTAGTGGCAACGGTGGTGGTAGTGGCAACGGTGGTGGATATGCTGATAGTGGTGGCAGTACCAGCGAGAGTCAGGAACATGAAACCCAGCTCCATACTAGCCCTTCCCCTCTTCCTCTTCTCGTTCCGTTTTCTTCTCATTTCTTCCTCCCCTCCGCATTTTCTCTCTCTTTCATACACACATACACGCAAGCGCGCGACACACACACCAACACCACATGTTCGATACATATCTCGTACATTCGTGCAAGGCACACGTCCTAACACATAGAAACATTTTCTCTCACACGTACGTTCAGTCCCTGCCCTCCGCGATCCGCGCCCCTCCCGAGCGTTCCTTCGTTCCTCGTTCGCTCCGCCGACCCCCTTCTCATCCGTGCGTTCGTTCGTGGTTCGTTCGTTCGTTCGTTAGGTTGCCAATGCTTGGCCCTGGGAATGCGCGGCTCGAACGTACCTCTCTCTTTCTCACTCTTTCTCTCTCCCCTCTCACTCTTTGGCCGTCTCTCTCCCTCATTCGTCTTATTGACCCGGACCCGGTTCTCTTCTCTCTCTCTTTCTCTTTCTCTTCGTTCTTCCCTCCCTCTTTCTTTCTCTTTCTCTTCGATTCGTCGCGTCACCTCCAACTCACCCACCTCGTGTCCAAGGGTTGGGTGGTAAAAGGAAGTTGTACGAATACAAGGTACAGGTCCTATCCAATCTATATGTATACATTTTCATTTTTCTTCCTTCCTCTTCCATTCTTCGCGTAATACATAAACACGCGTCTCTCTTTCTCTCTCTCTCTCGCTGTCTCTCCCTAGCGATTTCGAATATTCGGAGGGATGTTCGTCGAAGCGGCACCCATTCTCCCGTGAATTTCTTCGCGGTGAAATTAATATTCGCCTTTCGAGGCCACGATAAAATCGCAAGCGCCATGGAACGTAGAAGTCGGGAGTAAAAGTAAGAGCCTAGAGGCAAATACGCGGTACAATGCGTCGATGCTTCGAAAGTATAGATGAACATTGGCTACAAACATTATAGAATGTTGGAACACGGTAGAAAGTTGGAATTCATTTCCACCGTGGCTTGAAAAATAATACAAAATATGAAAAAATATAAAACATCGAGTAAACAACCAAAAAAAAAAATACAAAATAAAAATGAAAGAATGTAGGAACTTGTATAGTTAGTGGTAGCGGTGTAGTAGGCAAATCGAAGAAAGTACGTTTTCATCTTCGTATAACCTCATTCATATGCCTTCCAATCCGAGATATGTATAAAGGAGCACTTAAAGTGTACAATTGATGAAGAAGCCGGATCGAGATGAAAATTTTATTTCGCCGAACAGGTTTTTTCTATATTGGAAGGTCCGCGATTACTTGGCAGTTTTGCACGATATTCGCGCCGCCATCCTGCGCTTCCAGGGGTGAATGAAATTTAAAATTGCAAGGCGTTGCTGCTTAATTTATTCCATTTCATAGACCATCTGGTCTCTTTAGTCGAAAAGTTGTCGTAATTCACGACTTTAATGCTATTTTAACATATTTCATTTGAAACACACGTATACACACGCGCGTTTTCCTAGAACCAAATGAAACAGCACAATTAATGATCACATACGACTTTCTAATTAGTATTTCTAATTCCCCTAGGATATATTTTAGTGTTACTTTAATTGCCCTTTATTTTAAACTCTTCTAATTGCGAGCTATACTCGCATATTTTTGTTCTAAGAATTTCTTAAGATTTGGCATATCTTCGTCGTCTTTTCTTTCTTTCTTTCTTTCTTTTTTTCTTTCTTTCTTTCTTACCTTTTTCCCTTATTTCTTTGTTGAGGCGGAGTATGCGGTTTTAATGCAAATACATACATATGTCTATATAGAAATAATGCACAATTCCTAGATGAAAAAAAACGTATCGCGAATAGCAATCTACCGATTAGAATTTATCGTTTGCAATGGGCTAGGGACCGGTCACGAGGTTTTTACCCGAGTAACGTAACCCAAGCACGAAACAGAAATTCTCACAAGCCTTTAAAACCAATTTCTTTTTATCGTACGTTATCTTAGAACAACAACGTCAAAATGTTCGACTTTATTTCCATTCTGGGCATCTTAAAAGTAAGGCTGAACTAATAACGAGTTCCTTGTTATACTATTTTACGACAAAGCTCTCAACGTACGTTTGGCGTATTATTCGAAAACGATCGTTAGCTCGTAAATCATTCTTTTGAAAATTTTCTCATACAATTACGGGTCAGTTTGCCGAAATAATATTCGAAATCAAGCGAGAAATACTATTATACGGTTATCGGTTTCCCCTTGTCCCTTCGTTCCTGCCATTCGTTGTCATCGTCTTTCCAAGAGGAGAGTCTAAAGGCACAAGGACCTCTCTCCCTCTTTCTCTTTCTTTCTCTCTTTCTCTCTCTCTCTCTTTTATTATCAAAGAAGCGAGTTTGAAATTTGTTCAGGCCCGTTTCGAAAAAACATTACCCAGTAAACGTGATTTCAAGTAGAAATTGTAACGTTCCCGTTTCTAAGAGCTTTTTTTCTTTTTACTCGATCGTATGCTAAATTCTAATAAGAGGAAAAAATATCTTCCCGTTCGATGGCACGACGAATGAACAAACGAACGAACGAACGATCATGCGGAAGACGGGCCCAACGTAGCCCGGAAGCGTGTAAATCGACCTTTAAGGTTCGTCGATCGGTAAGGCGGACAACACTCGTCGAGTACAGAAGAGTGAGAGAAAAAGGGTGCGCGAAAAGCAGGAAGCGTCGATGTGGGGCAAATTCCAGTGACCGTAGCGGTGTAACGAAACTAAGAAGGGCAAAAAAGGTAGCTAGAGAAGAAGAAAGAGCGTGGCGACAACTCAGTAGCGTCTGTCGTCTCTCGTTCTCTTTTATTCCTTCTTCTCTTCTCACATCTCTTTCTTCCTTTCTTTTTATCTTTCTTTCTATTTATCTATCTATCTTTCTTTCTTTCATTCTTTCTTTCTTTCTCTTTTCTATATCTCTTTGACTCTTTCTCTTTTATATCTATCTCTGTCCCTCGGTCGCGCTCGTACTCTTTTCTCCGCCTAAAAGTTGACCTCGAGTTTCAAGGGTAGAGAAGGCAGTCATCCGCCCCTCTACGTTAGTAGAAGGGGGGATCTACGAGCCATAACTCTCGTATTCTTCACGAAGGAAACGAACGAAAGAGAGAAGGCGACGTTGACTCGGCGTCGATGCCGGTAGTCTCCCGCCATCCCCACCGGCCAAATCAAGCATCCCGATTGGCCGAAGCGTCCTGGCCCTCCTTTGTGAGGGAGCGGGTGAAAGCGTGGCTTGGCAACGTCGCGCAAGTTCAACGCTGCCCGCTAGAAAGAAGGCTAACCTCGTGTGAAAGCGAAAGAGAGAGAAAGAGAGACGGATCGACGCGTATGGCGAAGTGGAAGGAGTAGAAGGGAGGAAAGGAGAAAGAAAGAGAGAGAAAGAGAGAGAAAGAGAGAGAGAGAGAGACGAAACGAGCGAACGTTCGACCGGGCCGGACCTCGTCAGGTTGTTCTCTTCCGTGTCCTCTGTGTGCGAAATCGAACACGCGAGCTTAATGCGACGATAAAAGCTATCCAAAAGATCTTTCTATCTTTCTTTCTTTCTCTCTTTCTTCAGAGTCACGCTTTCTTCTCCATGCGGGCGGACCATTAGCGTGTTCCACGAGGAGTATTTACGACTCCTCAGTGGCCGCCATCGGTATCACGGCTCGCGTCGCGGTCGAACGTCGCGCGCGCTTTTACGCACGGCGTTATCGTCGTTACTTCGTCGTCTTCATCCTCGTCATCTTCGTCGTCGCCGTTGTCGCCGTTGGTGCTGCTGTTGCTGTTGCTGCTGCGCGTAGGCGCACGAGAGAAAGATCGAAGGATTTCATTCGTTTAGGAGAGAGGGAAAGAGAAAGCGCGATCGTTTGAGTCGGAAAAAAGAGAGAGAAAAAGAGAGGGGCGGTGGGGGGGGAGAGGTTAAAGAAACAAAGAAAGAACTACGAAGCAAAGTATGTTCGCGAAAGCTGATAGAACAATGGAGTTTGGATATAGCGAGCATAGATGTGGTAATAGGAGTGTCGTCGTTGGTAGCGGTGATTAGAAAAATTAACGAATGCGCTTGGTTAGCGTTAGAAAGAAATAGAAAGAAAGAAAGAAAGAAAGAAAAAGGAGAAGAGACGCCGCTACGACGAACGTTTCGTCGTCGTCGTCGCGTCGTCGCCGCCACCGCCACCGCCACCGCCACCGCCGCCGCAGCAGTTCGTAGTCGTGTTGAGCAGCGACGTTGAGGCAGATTCGGGCTAGAAGAGAAGAAACGAGAAAAGCCGAGAAAGACCGAACGATCGACGTCGGGCAAGGCAGCGAGAAGAGAGAGAGAGAGAGAAAGAGAAAGAGAGGGTGAGAGGCACACGGGTGTCGTACTACCACCGTTCACGATGGTGGTGGGGGACTAGAGGAAAAAAGAAAGAGCTATAACGAGTGAAGGGGAGAAGAGAGAAAGAGAGAGCGAGCGAGCCTTCCCTGGTTCGCCGGCCGGCCGTCGTGTCTCCCCTGCCCCTCAGTTACTTCCCCTTTCGTCCCGCACGGCTGCTTCCAGCAGCAGCATTGCCTTGGTGCTGGTGCCGCCGCCACCGCCACCACCGTACCTAACCCACCACGGAGCTGTAGCCAACGAACGACGACGAACGGTCGAGCATAGCGTCGAGTTGAGAGAACGTATTCCAAGTGTACCGCGCGTGCCACGAAGCCTTTACTCCGTGCGTAGTAAAGCGCTCCGAAGCGTCGAGCGCGCGCGCGCCCAAACACCCGCGGTTACAACAAGAGCGCATTCATATACCTGGTGATACATCGCCTTATATTGTGTGCTGTGTGCGCCAGGTGGACGACTAAAGAGAGAGATAGAAGTACAACTACCAAGGGAGTGAACAAGACAATAAAGACAAGGAATAAGAAGCACGCACAACAGTGTTATTTGCTTCAGTGATACAATCACGGAAGAAAAAGACGAAAAGGTATATATATTTACGCGTTATATATATAAAAAAAAAAATAAAGAAAATAAAGAGTAGAAAGATAGAAAACTATAGCGAGAGCTAGAGCAAGAAAAAAAAAAAAAAATCGAAAGGAAGAAAGTAGTAGTCACGCGTCGTCGGGTATCGTAAAACGAAAGCGCGCGTCCACGACGTCGTCGACGCCGCAGCCAAAACCGAAAAGAAGGTGGAAAAAAAGGATAAGGACGACGACGAGGAGGAAAAGAACGAAGAGCCGGCTAGTAATACCGTACGGATGTGAGGGTGCGCGCGTGGACGACGAGGTACCTTCTCTCGCGAGAGAGCGCGAGCGTGCCCGGTCTCGCTCGCGCGCACGCGTGTGCGTGTGTGTGCGCGTCGTGAGTAACCTCTCGTCGTCGCCACCGCCGTCGCCACCGCTGCCGCTGCTGCCGGTTGTACCCGTATCTTCCTTTCTCTCTCTCCCTCGTTGTCGTTGTCGTCGTAGTCATCGTACTCGTCGACGTAGTCCTCGTCTTCGTCGTCGTCGTCGTCCTAATCCTCGGCTGTGTACCGGTGGTTGTAGCTGGATAAACTGCGAAGGTACGAAGAGGAGAAGGTGGAGGTAGTGGTGGAGGAGGAGTGAAGGAGGTGGGGGAGGAGGTGGAGGAGGAGGAGGAGGACGTAACGTAGGAGCCGCGTACGTGTACGCGCGTACGAAATGTCGGATCACCACCGCGTAACCGGTGGCTGGGCTACGGCCAACCCTGGAAACCGCGAGGATGGATCTGGTGGTGCCCCTTGGTGGCCATCCGGCATGAACGCAGTTTCTGCTGCCGAACAGCAGCAACAGCAGCAGCAAGCACAACAGCAACAACAAAATCTTCATCAACATCTGATGAATCAACAACAGCAGCTTAATCAACAACAGCAAGCACAGCAACAACAGCAGCAGCAACACCATCAGCAACAGCAGCACCAACAACAGCAGGACATAGTAAGGAGTACTGCGGCGGCGACGCAGCAGCTTTTCTCCTACAAAATGGCATCCAGCTTTCAAAATCCGGCAACGACCGGTACGCAGTCGAGCCCGGTCTCGACGTCGACGCCTGTTGGCTCCTGCATGAGGGGTGGTTACGACTTCAGACTAGGCAACGCTCCCGGATCGGGCGGCGGTGGCGTACCTGGCACTCCGTCCGCGCCACCGCCCGGCGTTCAGTGGTGGTATACTACAGGCGGTGTTATGGACGCGGCCGCACAGAACAACCTCCATCAACAGTTGCAGTCGCAGCAGCAACAGCATCTATCCTCGATTACCACGCAAACATCTACGCCCCCCGTCATGTCGCCGGTATGTTCGACGATCGCGTCTTCTTCTCTTCTCTTCTCTTCTTCTTCTTCTTCTTCAACAACGATCGACTCTATCTATACATCGTCGTTTCACGCACGCTCTCTTTCTCCCTCTTTCCTTTCTTCTTTCCTTCTTTCGTTCCTTCCCTTTCATCCTACCCTACGCTATCTTTCATCCTTCATCATCTAATCAACTTCTCTTCTATTCGCCCCTATTATTTTCATCTTTTCATTCTTCTCTTCCTTCCTTCCTTTCTTCCTTCCATGTCTTCTTTTTCTCGTTCACCATTAATATATTTTTGCGATAAAGAAAGAAATATTAAAGTTGGGGGAGGCTTCACGCGTGATCGATCGTAGCAAAAATACGCATAAAGTCTCGCATGCTCTTTTAGTTCATTCGTTAGTTGGCTCGTTCGTTCGTTCGCTCGCTCGTCGTTCGCTAGTTGCTCGCTTGTCCGATCGATCGCCCGCTTCTCGTAGCTTCACAACCGAAGCTTTTTTCCTTCTCTCTCTCTCCCTCTCCCGTTCTTTCTCTTTCTTTCTCTTCCTTTCTTTCTTTCTTTCTTTCTTTCTCTCTCTCTCTCTCTATGTGAGTTTCCCGACGTCGCTGTTGTATTACCATGCTCCCAAGAAGCCCATTTGCTCCTTTATACGTTTTCTGTGCGTTACTTTTTTAACATTTTTCAACATTTTTCAACATTTTTCGTTAGTTTCGTTCGTTATCATTGAGGTCTCTTTCCAATAATATTTCCCACGATCGTATTTCTTACACCGTGGGTGGATAAGATTATTTTCAATATCTTTAACCTTTTTCCTTTTTTTTTTTTCTTCCTTTGTTCTCGACATTTTTTCTTTTCATTATAAAACACCCGCTTTCGAGCAAGTCGCGCGAGATTCCGATCGTAAAAAGGATCGTGAGGGAGGCTCTCGGTAGTTACTGTCGTCGTTGGAAAACTGGTTTGTTTAGGCGCTATGGTGCTCTCCGGAGAGAAAGAGTTGCTTCTTGCGAGAGGAAAGGCTTGGTAACTAACACCACCACCACTACCTCCTCCTCTATCGATAGTATTAACATCCAACGTTCATCGTTAAGCTTTTTAAACAACGGGGTGGTGTTTCACCATTGTTTAATTATCGTTTATAACTAACGTTTTACGTTCGATTCGTTCTTGAACGTTTTTTTTTTATCCAAAAAATTCGATTTATTTTTTAACGTTTAACATTTTTCCAGGTTCCTTTTTTCTCCCCCTTCCCCTCCCCCACCCCATTTCTTTTCTTTGTTGTTGTTAACTTCATATTCTTTTCTTTTTTTCCTTGTCTCTTCTTAGGTTATTTTACCACGCAATAATAGAAAATGAGATTATTGAAGAGAGAGTGACCCGCGTACTCGAATAATCGATTTTCGATTATACTGATACTACGAATCGGCTTTGTGTTAGTTCGTCGAACGGTGACGCGTTTTTTCTACTATAATTAAGCGCCTGGGAAGCTTTCGAGTCGGTGCCTCTCACATATTGCGTTGCGCCTTAAAGCTTGCGCTTTGCGAATTTTCTTCCTATTACACGCGCGCGCGCGCGCACACACACACACACTTATATATTTATATTTATAATTTATACGTATAAAAATATAATTGTTTCAAGCAATCTTTCGGTAGAAGAAGAAATATCGTGACTGCAAAATAAAAGTTCTTTTTCTTTTTTCTTTCTCGATAATAAAAGTTTTAATAGATCGTAGAAATATGACGACGGGTTCAGGCGCGCCATTTTCCAAAATTACACGCTTACCATAATTTACTATTTTCTTTTATACACACGAAGATTTACTTATTAACTCCAAAAATATGCATCACGAGCTTATAGTATTTCATGTTAACGTGTATTCGTATTTTTTAACCTCTTTTGTGACTCATATTTCTTTTTCCTTTACCTTTCTTTTTTTTTTTTTCTTTCAAATTCTCTGATCGTCAGTTTCCGGTGTTACATAAATGGAAGATAAATGTTTTTTTTTTTTTTTTTTTTTTTTTTTTTTTTTTTTTTTTTTTTTTTTTTTTTTTTTTTTTTTTTTTTGTAAAATTCTAACCTCAATCATGTTTCAACCAAATTTTTAACAAGTTACGTATTCACGTTACGTATTAGATCTTTAATTATACTCTAACAATACACACACAGAATAATAATGTTTACTCTCATTTTTATTGACGAAGATACATAAAGGTTTTTCTTCCTTCCACACCTCCTTTACTTTTCTTTCTTTTTAGATCAAAAAAGAAAAGAGAAAATTGTTCGTTAACCGAAACACACATTTTTTGTTTGTACTTTTCGCTTTTGAAATACGTAGCGATTGGAGGATCGAAAAGAAAAAGTGTTATCGTGCAATGCAGGTAAGAAAGAAAGAGAAAGAAATGCGATAAAAGTTTGGTTAGAATTTTGTCAGAATAAATAAATTTTCGTGAAAGTTATACTTATATATATACTTTTCCCATTGCCTCGAATACGACAGGATTATTAATTACCATTCATTGTGTAACGATAAAGAAAAAATGATTTCTCGTCGAAAAAAAACCTTACAAAAAAAGCAACTAAATTTAAAAACGCGCTTGTGATATTCCCAATTGTGCAACGTGAACTCTTTTTTTTTTCTTTTTCTTTATTTTTTTTCTCTGTAGTTTTTTCTTAACCTCGTCAGGAACAATAGAGAAAAAAAACGTTAATAAAACTTTTAGGAATATTTCTATGGAAATAATTCCCGACTAATTCTGAATTTCCAGGTTTTCTCAGAGATTTAAGTAAAATATAATTATATAGATATTTATATTTAATGTTAAATCATAAATTAAATATTATTTCGAGAGAAGGAAGAAGAAGAGAAATAGGATATGAGAAAGAATGTTAAAAATTCATTTTATTTTATAAACTTTTTCTCATAGTTTTACTTCAAAAATAATTTGGAGTAATTTAATTATAAGAATATTTGGAATTTTTTTTATTCTCTTATATTTTCTTTGAATTGAATTTTTTGTTTAATTATTTTTAATGAATTTTCTTTTCGTTTTTCTTTCTTTTTTTCATTTTTTTTACTTTAAATCATTCACCCGTGAAATAACATATGGCAAGAATATATTCCACGTAAACGAAACATTGGGGTCTCTCAGTCTCTTTCCATAACGGTACTTTGCTCGATCGAAGACTAGTTTATTCTTCCTATACTTTCCTAAGCTAGGATAGAAGAGCTTATAATCACAAGGAAAAATCTTTTAAGAAATGACGAATTTATCTAACTTTATATATCGGGTTTAAGAAGAAAATTACGTCAGTATAGTATTTTTCTTTATACGCGTTTATATTCTCTTGTGTTATTTTTATCCCCGTAAATTTATATCTAATAAATTCAACACACATTCATTCTCAAGGATATAATATTATAGAGACAAAAGAATTTTTCTAAAATTCAACCAAAATAATTTTTTTACAACAACAGGGTTTTTATGTTGGTGGGGTAGTGGCTTATCAGCTTGTTGGTGGGGTAGTGGCTTATCAGCTTGTTGGTGGGGTAGTGGCTTTGTGTCGTGAAAAAAAAGAAAAAGACTTTAGAATATTTGATACAAATTTTTTCTTTGTTTCTTTCTTTCCTATTGTTTCTTTATTTTTTATTATGACGTATCGTTCAATCGTAGTAATCTCCCACTTCGTATTTTCATTATTATATCATTGATCGTTATCCGATCATTCATACTCTATTTCATATTTAATTCTTCTGTGTGTGGTGTTTTGATAGTGGAGAGGGGAAGATGATGATCTTACGTTTCATTCTCTTTGTCGTCTACGTTCTAGAATATTTCTTAGAAAAGATCGTCATTGAATTATTGTCGTTAAGTTATTTACTAACACGAAAATAATATAAATGTGTTTATATATATATATATATACATATATATGCGAATGGTAATTTTTTTTTACACTTGATCGGATCGCGGATCGTTAGGAATTGTTTTTTCAAATAAAGAAGAAGAAAGAAAAATAAAAATTGTTTATACAAGTGTGTTTTTTCGAAGCTCAAAACAGCAGCAGCAAGCTTCTCTCTGTCCTTAGAATCTAATGGAAAAATATTTCTCAGGATATATTATATTGGATATATACAAAAGGAAAGATTCCTTTCTTTCCATGTCTTACCATGTGTTATTTTACAGGTGATTGATTAATTAATTCTTTGCACTCGAAGCAGATTGTTTTATTCAAATTGTACCAATAGAATTACGCAATAATTTCTTGGAAAATTTTAATTCGCAATTTATTAAAAGATTAAATGATATTTTTTTTTGTTCTTGTCATTGTTTTATTAACTGGAAATTATTTGAATTTAATTAAAAATATCTCTGTTCCGGAGAGAAACTATTGAGCGTGCAAAGGGTAAAATTTAAAAAAATACTTAATACAACAAAATTAAATAAATATATTTTCTTTTGTGTATAATATTATTATTATATATATATATATTTGATATGCATAAAGATTTGAATTAGTAATACTAGTATTATTCTAATCAAAACATCAACGGAATGTCATACGCGATAAACATCAAACGTAAGAATCGTATACACTTATAACAATGGAACCTATTCACGCCTCTTATTTAGCGGCAAACGAGGCCGTCTCAATCTAACCGATTGTGTTTACACTCATCAGATCAAGACGTAAATTTAGATCATTGAAGTTCGAGATATGTGACAACTCCTTATAGCAGACATACATGAATACATATTTATATATATTTATATCTTTTCATTAGCTTCTACTATTTTTTTTTTTTTTTATATGAAACATAACACATGTAAAAAAGAAAAAAAGAAAATAAGTGTATGAAGATCTCTTGAAACTTTAGCTTTTTCTCAAACGACGATAACATACTATCTTATATTTATTTTAGGTAACTTTTTTATAGGATAACCATGAAACAAATGGCTTCTAGACCGAACTACTATTAATCATAAATAGACTTTCGGTAAAGGAAGGAGGAGAAGGAGGGAGGTACTCTTGTTAGATATATATACCCCACGTTCGAATTTCTACGAAACGTGATAAATTATGAAAGATAACGAAGTAATGAATTTTCTTCGCTCCGTTCTTTTTTAATCTTGTTTCTTTTTTCTTTCTTTCTTTCTTTTTTTCTCTCTTTTTTTCTATTATTTTATAATCTTTTTTCTCATCGCGCCTGAAGTTGTATGCATTATATACATCGTAATTGGAAGAATTGAAAAAAAAAAAAAGGATTTTAAAAAAATAATTTTCATAAAATAATCTAGAAAATTTTTAATGTTCACCCGGTATATATGTATATATAATGAATTCTAAATAAGGTTACTACAACAATTTGGAGAAGTTGTTGGCTTGATAAATTCGATAAAAGATAATTGCAAAATTTGTTCAGATAAAAGTGACAATTCTTTTTCATTTTTTGTCTTTATCTTTGAACCGTATTTTTTTTTTTTTTTTTTTTGTAAACTCCTTAGAGAAAAAGAACGACGACGACAAAAATTGGTTGGAAGGGAATTTTGAAATTAGATTTTTTTACTTTTTACCCGATGATGGAAGAGAAGATATTAGATAAAGTATTTTTTTTTTTTTTTTTTTTTTTTTTTTTTTTTTTTTTATCGGTCGTAAATATTATATAGTTTTTGTGTACGACGTCTCCCCCCTTTTATTCCCCTTCCCTTGTGTGCATGACGTCGTCGATATTAAAATGTGACGATCGTCATGCGCGTTAAAGTGGGAGAAAAAAAAAGGAAGAAAAAGGACGGAAGGGAGCAGGGATCGGTGTGGGGGAGGGTGTTAGAAGGGTGGAAGGAAGGAAGGAAAAGGGAAAGAGAAAAGTAATTTATTTTTTTTTCCTTGTTTCGTTTCGTTTCGTTTGTTCTTTTTATCTTTTTCATGCGCGCGCGCGCGCGTCTTTTTAAAAACGGTTTTTGGGTAGCACACACACACACACACACAAACACGCATACACACACGTAGCCTCGTTCCAACTTCCATCGCACCTCCCGATTGCATCATCGATCGGACTAGACCGCACCTGCTCTTGGTTGGTGCTCAGACTAACACTATTCACACTACTACTAGCCTGTTTGTAACATACATTTTTTTCGTTAGCGCCTTCTTCTTTCTTCTTTCGTAGCACTAATTTATTAAAGATGATAACTTTTCTTTTTTTTTTTTTTTTTTTTTTTTTCTTTTTTTCCTTTCTTTCTCTTTTTTCTTTTCAATTATTTTTTCATTGCGATCGATGGAAAAATGGAGGCTGCTTTTTTATTTTCATAGAAATGAATTATTTTACGTTTAATTTTTTTTTTGTTATTTTTCTAGAAAAAATATTGTAAAAAAGATATTCTATATAAAAACGTCTATTTTTATTTATTTATTTAATTATCTTTTATTATTTTCGACGATATTGAAGGGGGGAATTTCTTTGAAAAGAAAGAAGAATTCTATAAGTTATGTTTTATCCACTATTTTTATTAACTTAAGAATTTTATTTTTCTAGATAAAAACGATTCTTAAAGAACGTCCATCTTTATTTTTTTAAATTATTTTTTTTATGGTATTTGAAGAGTGGGGGGGGGGAAATAAAAAGGAACTTTATATTTTGTTTATATGACATTGTTAATTAACTAAAGAATTTTTATTCTAAACAAAATAATTTTGAACGTCAATTTTAATTTTGTTTTAATTTTGAAAAAAATACTGATGAAGATGAAAATATACGGCACGATATTTCCCGTTATTTCCCATTATTTTTGTTTTCTTTTTTTGCCATTTACTTAATAAACGGATCCATACATATACATACGCACACACACACACACATATATATATATATATATATATATATATATATACATATATATTTATTTATATTCCCATATGTATTTATTATCAGATGGGAGAAAACTCGTCAGTAAATTATCGCCCGACACATGTATTTTCATCCAAAACATTTTGTTAGTTTCTCACGATGGAAAAGTTATACATATACACACGTCTATTAAACTAAATACACATATATATATTTATATATATATACACATACATTCATATTATGTATACATGTGTGTGTGTGTATATACATATGTATATATATGTACATATAGTACATACGTATATACTATGAACTAAGGAAAAGTTTGAAAGCCTGTTATCATCTCTACCGGCAGCCGTAACACGGAATGAAAACAAATTCCGATGAGATTTACTTTGTTAGGAAAAGAGAGGAAGGCAAAAGCAGCAGCAGCAGTAGCAGCATCCCTAGGAGAAAAAGGAGAATACATGCTACGCATACGTTTCTCTTACATATTTCTTCCATTTTCATAGAACCGTTCGTGGAATGCCAAGAAAACGATAATTCATGTCAGTTTTATATTCGAAGAAATATGTTCCAATGATTTCTTACGATTTTGGCAATATATTTATCTTAAATATACGCGTGTACGTATGTATGAATGTGTATGTATATGTATGTGTATGTGTATGTGTGTGCATGCATGGATAGAATGTAATTCCCTTTTCGAAATGAGATTTCGTTGTATCATAATTTTGAATTTTTGTTTGTTTTTTTTTTCTCTCATTTGTTCAACGACGCACAAAATGTCGACAACGATTTTTTTTTTCTTGCTACGAAAAGTTAACTTAAACTAGTTTGATAAAACGTATTCATGTTTTCCTATTGCACATTGTAAACATATCCTATATGCATATGTTGCGATTAACTGAGATAACGTAGTACGTTTAAGCAACATGAGGTAATCTTGGGTGAGATTACATTCAAACATAACGTATATGCATATATGTATATAAAATTTATATATTTACGTTATGTAAAGTGGATAAATGTTCGATGTTGCTAATGGTTTTTTCTCTTTTTTTTTTTTATAAATTTGAATTATAATTACATAACAGGTATTAGAAAAAATACTAGTTTCATCGATATATATATATGCTAATGTTGTTTCTTTTTTTTTTTTTTTCTTTCTCTCTTTCTTTTATGTATTTTTTCTTATTATATGAGAACTCGTTACGTAACTATATTTTTTTTTTTTTTTTTTTTTTACAAACGATCCTTACGTTCTTCACGTAGTTAATAAGAAAACAATAAATAAAATATAAATTTAGATATATGGCTGTGTGTGTATAAAAGACGTGTAAAACAATTAAATTAATATAATATTTCATTGTTTTTACTTTTGCAGCATCAAATACAGCAGTTACCGCAGCAGAATAATTTGCAACAAAATAACGCTCAAGGTCTGCAACGGGACAACATGCCTAGAGGAAAGGACTCTAAGCCAAGGGGACGAATGACCGCATACGCGTTCTTCGTGCAAACATGTCGACAGGAACACAAGAAGAAACATCCCGAAGAAAAAATCATATTTCGCGAATTTTCAAAGAGATGCGCGAATAGGTGGAAGGTAAGGGGAAACTTTTGATTTATTTTTTTCATCATTATTTCATCCCCTTTTTCAAAAGAAACATTACTAGAAGAAAGACGTCCATTTTCTTTTTCTTTTTTTTTTTATCGTAAAAACTTCTGCTTCCCCTCCCCCCGAAAACTGTCATCCCCCTCCCAGCAACCCTAAATCCTCGTTCGTTCCTTTTTCTCTTTATTTTTTCTTTGGATTTAGAGAGAGAGAGAGAGAGAGAGAGAGAGAGAGAGAGAAAATATTCACGTAATTTTTCTTTGCATATTATCATCTGGGAGGAGAATTGCTACGTTTTCTGGTCTTGCCCAACGCTATTCAGCAAGAAACCAGTTTTAAATAGATATAAATATGGGATCTCGACCGTGGAGGAATGTTACTCTGGAATTCTTGTTCTCAGCTCCGAGATAGCATTGAGCATTATAGCCGGAATGAGAGAAGTTCAACTTTTAGCGTGTTTAAAATACCCCACTAGAGAGATATTGAATTAAACAACATACAGAGTGAAGGACTCTTTTAAACTGATCACCCATGTGTAGTTTTATTCGAGTATATGTATAAACTTTTTTCGAAACGCGTGCATTTTGATATCTCTCTCTCTCTCTCTGTCTCTTTCTCCCCCCCCCCCATTGTCTTTTGAAATTCCGACGAATGCGTGTACGACCTGGCATTTACAAATTTATTTCCATAGTTACTGGAAAAATTTATACGGTAGCTTTCTTCTTTTTGCACTTTTGTCCATAGATTTTTTTTTCTTATTTGTTTCTTTTTTTCATAACCACCCTGATTTCGTCAAAAGTTCCTAGATGATTGTACAAATCACTTATACCCTTCTTTTTATATATATATATAAACTTTAATTTGCTAGACTAATTGCAAGCTTAAACAAATCTCAAAATAAAATAATGAATTTTTTAAATCGTTTAGGAACTTTTTGTTGTCCAACTAGGGACTTTTGATACCTTATTATATTATATTCACGTATTTATTTCATCAATTTACGAACGAGCAATTTGGAATTGGAGATAACGATGATAAATATTTGAAAGGGTTTCTCTTTTAAATTTTTCACGAAGTCACGATAACGAACAAGTTTTTGCTCGTTGAAGAAGAAATTGCTTTCTCTGGTTGGCGTGGCCAAACGCATAACACGCAGGACAGACACACACCACACCCTTTCTTCACCAATTTTTCATGTCGATCCCTTCTTTTTCTTCTTCTTCTTATTATTATTATTATTATTATTATTATTATTCTTCGTACCTGTATTACGATAACAACCGTTTATTTTCCTGAGAATATTTTTATTGACTCGATTAGTTATTACGAAAAGAAAAAAAGGGTTCCGTTAGAAAAGTTTTCAACTAAAACCGGAAAATTGCATCAGTTATTGTCAAAACTATTTCTAGGTACTATAATTAATAACAATAATAAATGAATATATTTCGATCGAAAGACACTTAGGAAAAAAGTGTCAGCCATTTTGAAAAATTCTATTGTCGTTTGATTAAAGTCATATTTTTGTCCAATTCACGTCAGAATTTTTATATAAAAGAAAAAAGGGGGAGAAAAAAATATCGAACATATCCTGTCGTTAATATAAAATTCTTGCATTTAATAAAAGTTAAAACGCATGCGCGAATGTAAAGCCGAGTGTTGTTGGTGGACGCTTCTTATTTCGTTTTCTTTTTACGGAGAATTTTCTTCCTCTCTCTGTCGTTTAGCAATGTATAAAATAAAAAAGGAAAAAAATATGAGCAGGTGAATTTAAACGTGGTCGTTACCAGCTTGGTTGATGATGAGCGTAAAGGGACAGCCAACAATTGCGACCACCATCGATAACATCGACAAAATTCATCGAATGATACACGAATAAAACGAGGTTATAGAGAGGAATGGTAAAAACTTGGGCATATATATTAAGGAAAACGCGTTCATCATATTTTATATATGATGAAGAATCGAACTTTACTGTTTTTATTTCATTTTACAAATTTCAAACCATAAAATATATTCATAGTTGATAGATTGGCAGTGGGTAGTAACTCTCTCTCATTTCCTTTTCAATCGAATTTGTGAAGAAGTCGGTTCTATAGAATATTATGCGTGTTCGTTGAATTACAATATATCGAAAATTCGTATTCGCGAGAATAAAATACGCGTATTACATTGTTCAAAAGTTTCGAACTTTGATAATTGCAAAATTATATACAATTATTGTTTTCTTTTTTCAAGCTTAAGTTTCTTTCTCGGATTGTTAAATTGGCATACTTTAAGAACTTGTTTTCTTTGTTACAAAATTAATCTTTAAAAAAAAAGTAATTGATTTCAAAAATTATCCTAGGAATTTTTATAGAACTTTTGGTCTACCCCTTATGTAGTTTATATGCATAAAACATAATATATATTGTTACATTTCACCTTTACTTTTATATCTACGTCTGGTACTCACGTGGGTTTTTACTGTTGTACATATTTATCGATTATATGTGTCTTTCGTGAGAATAACTCGAAACAGAACTAGTGTTTTACCTTTAAAAATGATTAACCTTGATAAAAAGACTAGGAGGTACTAGTACTATACGTGATGACATTGATAGCTTCTTTCTTCTTTCTTTTTCAACTTACTTTTATTAATCTTGACAAAACATTCTTTCAGTTTGCTGATGTGATGATGTCCGTTTTTCGGATGTTCAAGTATCTTTTATCTTCTTTTTCTTTTCTTTTCTTTTCTTTTCTTTTCTTTTCTTTTCTTTTCTTTTCTCTTCCTACTTCTACTTCTACTTCTTGCAATCAGAAACTTTCTCGTAGAATTCAATAGATATCGAGTATATTCAACAGGTCCCGCTCTACTTAACGCGAAGTTTAAAGAAGTCTTGTAATCGAGATGAGAATTTCTGATAATTCACCTGGAATTTAGTCCTTTATCTGGAATAATAATACTAAGAATTTCAGCTTGTCTTCCATCTTATTATTTTTATTTCATTTAATTTTTTTTTTCTCTTTCCCCTCTACAAAAGTATTTTCAAGATATAATAGTTGAGTAATATCTTATACGACGATTAAAAACATAGAAAATATTTTTATCCAATAATCAAATAAATAAATTAACAATATATAAATATCGAGAAAATTAATTCGATCATTGCGATATTTTTAAATATAGGAATCCTCTATCTTGTTTGATTTTTCTTCTTCTTTTATTACAAATTATTTTCAAAGATAATAGTCAAGTCATAGATATGTGTTACAAAAAGATCAAAAAATATTATTTTGATGATTGGATTATATTTATTTATATGTTATAAAAATGCAATTATTACCTGTATAGTATTTTTAATATGGAAACAAACTTATATTGGATTTCCTTCTTATTGGCCTCTCTTTTTCTTGATTTTCTTTTTTTTTCCTTCTTTTTTATCCCTCTTTTGGTGTTATCACAACGATGAGGAGATATTTTTATCGGATATAAGGGTTGTGCGCTTCGAAAATCGATACACTCGAGCGTCGTGTGCATGAGAGAAGTTGAAGAATCCGAACGATTTTTTTTCAATCGGATCATCCCACCATCATTTGTATTTTCTTTGTAGATACATACGTTCGTTATTCTTTTTCTATCTCTTTCGTTATCTTTTTTTTTCTTTTTTAAAACATTATTCAGAGATTTTATTGATAGGTGCAAAGTTCATTTAATTATCGAACAGTATTAAGAGCACTTCATTCATTCGATTATAAAAATAATAAGAAAAGAACAAATAAAAATAAAAAAAAAACATACGAATGTTAGTTAGTTCAATTTTAAAGAGATAACAATTATTGACTTACAAATTCTGAAGTCGTTAATATTTTATCTTTTTAACGATACTTTAAACGATAACCCAAAAGTTCCTAGGTGATATTAAAAATTAATTATTCTTTCGAGATGTTTTAAAGAACACTTTAATTGAACTCTTAGTTTAAGTATCTTAGAAAATACCTACAAAATTTTAGAATAATAATGAAATAATTGTTTTCTTTTTTTAAATTATATGTAGAAACTTTTTCGATGTGATATTTTAAGCTTGTAATTTTAGAATTCGAAAAGTATTCCAATAATTATATTTTTAAGAAAAAGAAGTAAAATTGAATGTTCAAATTAACGTACAAAAAAAAATACCTTTTTCTGAGAGTACATCCAATTGGATGTGCAATCACATTGATACACGTGATTAAATTATAAAATACTACATTTATTTATATCTTTTTAAATATAGATTTTTATCTTTTTTAAAACATAGGATTATCTTTCATCGAGTCATTTCATTAAGCTATTATTGAACAAGCGATTTTAATAAACGTATAGAGAAAAGAAGATTCAATCTATAAAGCATGTCAATGATACCATTGTTAGTATTAATTACGATACACACTCGCTCTTACATTTAACAATAGTAACATTTATATGTATTGAACTATATGCAAGCCAAATATAACAATGACATGGGACATTGTTTCTTACGTTTTACTGAGTTGTTAAGTATTCATAGAAATAGTGTTTTCTTATCCTTATCGAGGAAAGAAGAAACGTAGTTGGTTTAGTGTCATCTCTTTTTATTTATTTATTTTCTTTTCTTTTTTTGTTTAAATTTATGAGTCTGACGAATGATTTACATTTACATTTACATTTATGCTTATAATATAAATGCAAATACATATGCATGCGTGTATGTGTTGTATACTGTGATGATACCATTCAAATCAAAATTCAGATTAGATTTCAAAAAAAAAAATTATATTACGCGCTTTAGTTGATAACGTAAATATATTTTAAGTGCGTTGTACGATTTATATATATGAATATTAACAAATATTCGTCTTGGGAGAATTTCTTAAGAATTAGAATCTCACGAAATGTTCAAAGTTCGAAACGATTGTATGATTTTGAAATCGAGTATTTAACGTTTAGCAATATTCGTATTATCGGATGATTATTATTTGAAAAGAGTTCAGAGAACGTACGTAGCCAGCGTGTGCTTTTCCTTCGAGGCCTTGCACCCGCAGCGCAGCAGCTGGTGCATCGGTCAGCGCACCCTCGTCGTCGTCTTGGCTCTGCAGATAAAAGTCATCAGACCTGGCTCACGATGTGCCGATGCCCCGTATCAAATAAAATTTACTATTATTTCTTTATATAGTTACTCAGTATAATATAACTCAACAATTATTATCTTTGTTAAAATAATATTCCTTTTCTTTTTCGAATTATTTTCCCAAAAATTATTCTAAAATAAGATTATTTTAAAAACTTTGAACACAAAAAAATTACTTCTATAATTTTAAGCCCACTTCTCAATACTCTTATTACTTTTTCTAACGAAATTAACGTGGGGGTTTTTTTTTAAGTAAATAGTAAAAGTATGCGCACAAATTTAACGTAAAAGAACAGAAATTTATTAATATATATAGACACAAAAAAACCGAGATAAATTTTCATTAACAGCTTCTTACTCCTTTACAATTTCGTGCGCGACAGAAAAGAATTTTTCATCCAAGTTTCGATTAATTTTCGAAAAAAAAAGAAATATAGAAAAAAAAAAGGTAATAAGATTGAAGAGAGAGAGTGTACGTTGAGAAGAGTTTATAATCGTTTTTGTTCGCCATCTTTTTCTTCCTATCCGAGAAGTACATATATATGCATATATGCATATACGCGTACTTCGTTTTAATGGCCGACGCTTTAATGGCCGCCGTAAAGTACCACGCTAATGAATTAAATTCTATATGATATCTTCTACGATATGTGAATAAATATTGAAAAGAAAAAAAATAATAGGAAAAAAAAACAATTTTTTTTCCTACTTAAAATTTATAACTAATTAAAGAGAGAGAGAGAGAGAGAGAGAAAGAGAACACTATGTCTTGTTCTTGTCACGGCGGTACGTAATAACATATTTAGTTTCTTTAGTAAAAAAAAAAGCGGAAAAAAATACAAAAAAATAAAAATAAAAATAATTATAAAAATAAATGAAGTAAAGAAAAGAAAAGTCGGTTCTATATTCTCTTGTGCTTTTTATTTTAAATAATGTAAAAGAGCTCGGCCAGTCGAAAGACCCTTTGGACCGTGGCACGTACCCTACGCTATTCTATCGACCAGCCCTAACGTGTGCCACCTCTTCCGTTTTTTTCCTGCTTCCCTCTCTCTCTCTCTATCTCTCTTTCTCTTCTCCACCCTTTCTTCGCGTTCTCTTTCTCTTTTACCCTCTCCCATTTTCCCTACTCCTCCCTCGTTCCTCTTACCCCTTCTATATACTTTTCTTTAGCTGAGAACGTTTACTCCCTTTCTTCTTTCATCCCCCACCCTTCAACTCCCCTCTTCTACCTCAGCAAACGGCTAGTTTTCCTATTTAGCATACATGTATGTATTTCATAATAGAAGGCAAAATTAAATTGGCTTGATTTAATCATAGAAAAAACATATTTCTTTCAACTAATGTAGAATTACAATTTTGGATGTATTAAAATCAATTATATCGACTTAGAGTTTGTCTAAAGAAAAGAAAATGATGATATTGGGGAAATAAATGTATTGACAATTTAGATTATTTTTATTTTTTTAAGAAACTTGTATGATTTTAGAAACATGTGTTTACCTATCTTTTACAGACAATGTCAGACAAAGAAAAGAAACGTTTTCACGAAATGGCAGAAAAAGACAAGAAAAGATACGATGCGGAGATGCTAAATTATACGCCACCTAAAGGAGAAAAGGGCAGAGGAAGGAAACGTAAACATATTAAAGATCACAATGCACCTAAACGATCACTGTAAGTATTTGAAATCTATTCATTGGGAAGTTGAGGGATTCTCTCAAAGATTACAACATTAGATTTGATATATATCATTCCCTTTCTTTTTCTTTTTAGGTCTGCCTTCTTTTTGTTCTGCAACGATGAACGTGGTAAAGTGAAAATGTTGAATCCTGAATATGGTGTAGGAGATATTGCCAAGGAATTAGGTAAAAAATGGTCGGACGTAGATCCCGAAACCAAATCTAAATATGAGGCTATGGCAGAAGAGGATAAAGCTCGATATGAAAGAGTACGTAAATATATAGTAGTTACAAGTAAATGTCCTAGTTTGAAAGAATAATAATTAAAATACGATCGAAGGAAGGAAGGAGGCGTAGCGTGTGGTGTGACGGTGTTAATTTAAAAGTTACTAATTTAAAAAAAATGTTTTAACAGGAAATGACAGCATACAAAAAGAAAATGAAAGATGGTGTACCAGTGGTTGTAGAAGCACCACCTGCAAATACTGTAAAAAGCGACAGTGAAGAAGAATGGAAGGAAGACGATGAATAGCGGCTGCATGATAAAATGTCATCTATCACCCCGTGTCCTTGATCCTAAAAGCATACCTCACCTACTGTACGTACCATTGACCTTAGCGTGAGTGTACTTACACCACTAGGAGAACAAATAACTAACCATGAGTCCCATAATAATAATTGAAAATACACGCGTTTATAATAATTATTTTAAAACTTGTGTGTATGCGCTATGTGAAAGGAGATCGTATGAATGACATTTGTATTTTAACATATTGATTAGCAACATGTAAAGTGTCATAGCATAGAGAAGTGAAAAAAGATGGTGCCCACTTTCTGTGTGAGATGGAAGGCGCAGGGGCTCAATCATTGTTGACTTTGTCTCCACATCATGTTAAAAGCTAATTTAGTTAGTAACGACAAGAAAAAAAATTAAGATTCACTAGCCTCGTTGTTGACAAAAAAACTCTAATGGTTTTGTGAAATTTATCAGTTCAGTTCATTTGCTGCCAGAATATAAGAGACTAATGTTGTATATCCTTGTACAGAACGTTTCTTTAAATCAAATTTCTCTCAGGTAGGGCATGGGGCTGCTTTGTATGAGTGTAATTGATTTTTATATTTGTCAAGAATAGCTGTAAGTAATTAGAATAAGTATACTTAAACACAACGTCGATATCGTACATTCACATCAACGTGTGATAGTTTTCACTAATGGTGGATACTAAAGCCACGTGATTGAGCCTTGTAGTTTATAAGCAATTTGAATCGAGATAAAAACATGTAGTTCACAGCTTTTACAAATCAAAATTAGGACAGTATACTCCGACAGTCGTCCTATAACTTACAGAGAGGGTGCTGCTCGTTGTTGTATGCACAAAAAGTCGAAATTTTATTTGCGTGACCGTGCTGCAACCACCAACACCGCGATTTACTGAGAAGGATTACACAACACAACACAGGATAGAGAAAAAAAATGCCCTAATTTTACTTTGTATAGTGACTTTGGTCATTGTTTTACTATAAAACAAGAAATATGTAAAGATGATTTATGTTTTTTATTCATTTTGATGAGATCTTCGTAAATGGCAGTTGTTTAAGTAGACAAATATTGTAATTTTTATTTTATTTTATTATTATTCTTTTTTTTCCTAACGCGTAGAAGTGGTCCCCCTGCCCTTACCATCGTCATCCTCCCTCTCATATTCATTATGTCAATAAAGGAAATACTTAAATCCTATCCAAACCATTTAAATTCCTTTAATTGTTCGAGAAAGCAAAGTAGGAGGGCGTGTTTTGTACTGCCTTGAGTCATCTGGTGTACTGCAGGCTGTATTATAATAAATTATTGTGGTTTCTTGTAATGTTAAACATTCCTAGAACTTAGTATGTACAGATCCTTATCATTGAAATTAGTGCAAACTATGAAGTGGCACGCAGATGAAATAGGTCTGGTCACTTGTTTTGTGAATTTGTTAACCAGATCAAATAAGCGAAGTGAATATATAAAAAAAAAAAATACAACTTTAAGAAAAAAAAAGGCTTTCCTACAGTCAGACTGACTTGCACCTTGATTTGGCTCAGCAGTTAGCCATCATTTTTCTCAACATAAAAAAAATGCTCTTCATCTTCCCCCCTGATAACATTGTCATGTAATGAATAATTGTATGATTATATGAACAAAAACCTGTTTTAGAGGGAGCTAGAGGATGAATACTGTAAAATATAAAATTGTAATATTTTAATACTGATTTGCAGATGTGCATAATTTTAACATAGCTGGTTAAAGTGAATTGTACTGATTCAGAGGTATCCATTTGATGGAAATTAATAAAAACAAATATTGAAAATCATGACAGAATTTCTTGTCTTATTACAAAAGAATGATATAATTATAAACAAAAAAACTAAACTAAACTAAACTGAACTAAACTGAACTAAACTATAAACTAAAAAAAAAACAAACAAAAAAAATACACAAAACAAACAAAAAATATGTTTCTTTTGTATATCTCTTAGGGATAAATAAACTTTGCAAAAAAAAGAAAAAAAACATTGAATCGCTTTTGGTACTGACGCTTAATAACCTAATTATAGTCTATATGTAAATCGTTGTACGTGTAAATCATTTATTAAAACTGCGTTTAATGATTACCTAAACGTTTTATGCAAATATAATAAGCGTATAAGTCCATTATAGGCGAAAGAAGAAAAAAAGAAAGAAAGAAAGAAAAACAGTCCGTGTTAAGAAAACTTATTTAAACATATATATTGTATTATAAAGCGAGTAAATCGTTTTTACTCAAAAGCATCGTACATAATTAACGGTATTATTTGGCCATAAAATAATGGATATATAATAATACTTAATGATACAGTCAATCAAAAAATAAAAAGAAAAAACAAAGAAAACTTATGAAATAAATAATGCATGAACAGTCTAACGAAATGACGGGCCTTTTTACTTTTCTTATTATACGCTGCTGGATCCACGCTCGAAACAACACATCTTGCATGTACACTTTTATTTATCAATAATTGGACCAACTGCATTATATAAGTACTATGTTTATAAAACATTTATAAAATTATGAACTTCTTTCGTATGGAGAGTAAAGAAACATGACAAAATTCAAATTTTAGTTTAATAAACTTTTGAAAATGCTCTTCGTCCGACTATTGAGAGAGAAAAAAATATATAAATATATATATATTATTTATATAATATTAATTAAAATATATTTCAGATAAAAAGAAATATATAACTTTAATATATAAGATACATATATTAACGCAATGAAATGGAATACTTTGAATATTTTTTCTCTCGTTCTTTTTTTGTTCTTTATCATCATTTTCGCGCGCATTAATAATTATTATTGTATCTGTATCCAAATTTTATATAAGAAACTAACATCAGTGGAAAGTACACGCTATCTTCTATCGACTGTTTCTCGACTATTGAAAAATATAATAACAAAAAATAAAACTAAAAATAATTTCGCTTGTATAAATTATATTTACCAGAAAAAAAATTAAAAAAAGAAAAAAAAAAATAAGAAAATTGTAAGTTAACGTTCGCGTAATATTTAATAATTAGCACATACAATTTAATTAATTAATTTATTTATTAATGTTTGAATGTGACAGATTCCTCTTCTTTTTTAATAGCACGAATAAGTGTTAAAGTGAGTACCGCCAATATTACCTGTAACAACGAAATATTCGTGTGTAAATTGTAATTACAAAAAAGAAAAAATGCCACTGCTATTTTGTGAAGAAAAATATTTACGATTTATTCTTTTTTAAAATATATATATATATATATATATATATATATATATATATTATTTTATGTATCTTTTGAGATATGTCATTTAATATTCATCAATACTCACATGCAACATGCACAAAGAGAGGGCCAAACCAGCAAGCCACCCTGATCTTGCTTCTAAAAACCAAGAAATTTCTTCAACGCAACCGTGAAAGAAGGCATTTCCGGTAACAGTGTCACGACATTCGTTTGGCAAAGGTTTTAACATTCTCACGTAATCCATCGGACCGTCAGCACCACAGCAACCGACCTATATTAATCCACACATTTTATTGTCATGACTAAAAGAAATTTTACATTTATCCGAAATTTAACTTACGTTTTCTTGAATCATTTTAAGAATATCAGCTGCCCTGTCATGTTGAGAATTACTGATAAGATGAATCATTGATCTGTATATAATGGGCTGAATTTTGCTATCGTAAGTTGAATAATCAAGAACAACACCAGCACCTGCTAAGCCGCATATGAAGCAAAATAGTTGAAGGCCCACGTGCTGAAAGAAAGAAATTTATAAAACAAAGGGGGAACAGAAAATTAGGATGTATTTAAAATTTAACTTACTACAGAAAGATAACACGAAGAAATCAATAATTGTTTTTTAATAAATTTTAACTTACAGCAAAAAGACCCAAAATGTTTTCCATCAAAGCTGCGCCACAGCCTATGAAAGCAATGATTATTACGAATACGGATGTTGCCATTAATACGTAAATGCCGATGTAAAATTCGTACATGTCCAAGAACATTATCCAATCTTGAAACACTGGCTCAAACCTTAGCCATAAACATAAGCCGAACATCGCGCTTCCAAAAATCTACAGATAACAAAACATTTCATTAATATCATCTTACACGCTTTTAATTTGTAATAATTGATCAATCTCTTGTTAGAATATTAACAAATATCTTTTTACTATATCATATTTTAATTAATGTCTTAATGTGACTACTCTAACAGTATGTATAATATTATTTACATACTACAACACATTTCCCAATGAAATTTATATTAATATTAATATGATATTTCTTATATTAAATATTGCACGACGTTATCAAAATCTCGTGTTTCATAATGTTACCTACCCACATAACGGTATTCAAGCAAAATATTGTAAACTTAATACATTGAATTTGCTGTTCCAGCTGAGGGGTAGAATTTTTCACCACCATTTTGCACAATTTGTTATTACAATTATTGATATCTCGCGTAAACAGTACACCGTGCACTATTGTTAGAAAATCGAGAAAACTTCGTGAGAGATATCAGATGAAATCAACTGAAACTTGCATAGCTTCTCAATGACATACGTGAGACATCTTTATCGCTAACAAATATAAGATAAGTGGATAAGCACGTCCTAGATAAAATGCCCAAGTTACGTTACGAATCTGATATGATTCACTCCCTTCAAGAAAAAAAGAAAAATAAATAAAAGATGATATACATCGTTAAATGGAAAAACTGATAATCTATATTTCCTAAAAGAAATAATCGTGAAACCTTACTCGTGAAAATTATATCTATTTAAAAATAAGAGATGTAAATTTATTTCATTATTTTACAATAGTTGAGAAAAGATACGTAACAATTTGTTATCAAAAATTTTACTGATAATAAATTAATACATAAAACAATTATTATTTTAATCGATTGATAGTAACTAAAGATAGAAAAACATAAATATCATCACTGCATAACACAGAGACGTATGGAAAAAATACAGGTACACATATAAATGGCTTTTTAATCTGAATCATCTAGAAATATATTTGTCACATTCAATCGACTAGATTGACTTGAGGATGTAGTATTTTGTCGACTTCTTGTTAACTGCATCTGTGTGAGAACAAAAAAATCATATAGAACCTTATTCGCAATGCAAGTATTCATACAGTAGAAGCATACTTGTAAATGATATAACCACATTGGAAGCGTTAATTGTATTAATTTTTCTACATGCATTTAATTGAAATCTCGTTACCGAAAAAAAGGTTTCAATATTTATGAATATATTAGACCTGACCTGTTCTTCTAATTGTTTCCGTTTTTTAGGTGCATTGTCAGAAAACTTCGAAGTAAAGAATTCTTTTACACTTTTGTTCATCGAATTAGTTTTTGAACCTCTAGAACTTCTTCCAGTAGTACCTCGGCTACTCGCTCTTCCTCTTGCACTAGTAGTTTTTTTTCCTTTAACTTTACTTGTACCACTCGTGCTTCTTTCATTGTCATACATTTCATCATTGCTATCATTGATAACGATCTCATCAATATCATCATCATTGTCATCATTACTATTATTACTATCATTTTTATCAGGTTGCATTCTTTTTTGAGTTCTTTTAGATGGTCTGGTTTGTAGGAAATTAATTACCTGTACGAATAAAGTTCATTAAAAAAAAAAAAAAAAAAAGATGAAATTTACAATATTTGCTTACTGCAATTATTAATAATAAATAATATCGACTAACATCTTGACATTCTTCGTTTTCCTTTTGATTTTTCTCATCTCTATATTCCCTTAACTTATATATAATTTCATCAGGAGTTTTTAAATTGCGTTTCTTCAAGTAGTCTTTATTCTTACTTATTTGGTCTCTAAAATGTGTGTGTGTGTGTGTGTGTGTGTGTGTGTGTGTGTGTGTGTGTGTGTGTGCGCGCGCGCGCGCGCGCGCGCATTAAGAAATTTGGATTATTTTTTGTATCAAAAGAATAAATAAAATCGATCATGTTATATTAAATATCTTACTGTATCACATCTTTTATAGCATCTTCATCTCCTTTTATAATATACTGACTTAATGTTTCATTCAATCCGCCAGCAGATAAGACTGTTAACAAATTTCTGTTTTCCTCTAAATCAAAGTACTCTTTAATATATTCTTGAACACTTTGTGTCCAACCAGTTTCTTCCTATTAAGAAAATAACAACAAATATTAGGAGACATTAAATATGTCATATTTTTATTAGTCACATATTTTTGTATTACGTCTTCAAACTGAAATTTTTCCGTTACATCATCCAACGAAGAATTAAAAAATTCATCATTGCTTGACTTAGAGTTATCGAAAATCTTACGAAATAAAATCATACTCATTGGATTGAGTACTTCATCGCAATACTTTTGGCCGAGTCTATAAAATATTCCTTTAGTATCTAAGATCATAATTTTATTTAAATATTATTATAATTTATTAAAGATATACCCACCCAGTGGTTTCAAATAAATCATTTTCGTCTTTATAAAGTATTCGTAAACGAACTAAAGGTTCTTTCGGTTGCTTAGGATGGCCTGCAATGATATGATATTCAATATAAGATTATTAATATTACAATATTTCTCTATAACAAACATTTGTAATATATATTTGAAAAAAGTTACCTGTATATTGTGTTAACACCTTAGGTAAAATTTTATGTTCTATATATTCATCTATATAGTTAATAATAATATTTGGATTTGCACAGTCTGCATTTCTTCTTTCTTCTATTTCCGAATTTTTATATAAATTTATAGTATCTAATACGAAAGGTCTGACAGTATTTAGTTTTAGTTTTTTTATATTGAAACGTAACTTATTTATAGATAATAGTCCGACATGTTTTGGTATTGTTTCATTCTGACATAATGATGTTGCTATAGAACTACCTGTATAATTATTATCGATGTTACATAATATAGAAGTATAAAAGCATAGTCATTTAAATAATTTATCTTGAAATATTAACTATTACATTGACCATTTTTGTACTATGATTTAATGCACAGATCTACATGAAATATTCGATGCTGCATTTTATGTTTCTTATGTTTCGATCATTAAGCGTATCACGAGTCTCGTATATTGTTATAGTGCAAGGGATTGTGTAAATAGCATTAAGTAAATGTTATACCTGGCTGAGATATAAAATATTCAGCACCTGCAACCGATTCTGGTTCGATACGACACTGATGCTCATGTCCCCATACGACTAAATTAAGGAACTTCGGTAATTTATTTTCGGGGACAAAATCAGTTAATGAATGCTGTACACGATTTTGATGCAAAACAAGAATATTGAAACATTCTGGAATTTCTTTTACTTCCTTCAACACAAGCTGCAAATATGAGTACAATTTTAATTAATAATAAATTACATATTTTAGAAATAAGGTAAACATACCTTATCATTTTTTATAAGTCTATGCAATCTTTGATCGTTGACATAACCCATACCATACAAACTGATGTGTGTAGAACCTTTTTTTAATACTATGGGTTCGATAGTTAATTTCTCAACATTCATCCATTTTCCAAAATAATTAACAAGCCCTGCTACCGATAATATATCCATCGAACCAACGCTACTAAAACCTGGAAAATTGATTAGAAAATTATTTTTTATTCAATTTCAATTAGATTTTTTTTTTATTTCTTACTTGGATCATCGTGGTTGCCATGAATTGTGAATATTGGCATATTAATATTCATGTTTGGGTCTTCATAATTGACGCTTTTATAACGACAATGTTCAAAAATTTTACTGGGATCTGTTAAAAATTCCATTTTGACGTCTCTGTTAAATTATAAAAAATATATTTAATTTAATTCAGAATTTAAGAGTTCTTGTTTGTATAACATTTTCTTCTTATTTTTATTTATAAAATACGATGGTAAAATTGTGTAAAAAGTAACTGGGGCACCCTGTTTATATTTAATTTTTCTTAATATTGTATACAAACCCTGAGCCGTAACAATATTTTCTTATTAAATCCATACATTCAATCATAGCTGTTTGGGAGGGTTTAGTATCATGGAAAAGATCTCCTCCAAGGAGTATAAAATCAACTTGATATTTTTTACCATATTGAAGTATTTCTTCAAATGTTGTAAAACTATCGTTTAGTGGTTGTCCTGTGTAACCAAATACACATAAATATTTTTTAAAAAGTCTAACACACAATGTAATAAAAAAAATAATATTTTTTTTTTTACACAAATATATTTCTTTGTTAATAAATAAAATAACATATTTTAAGACACACCTTTATTTCTTTGATGTTGATAGCCAAGATGAATGTCAGTAGCTATCAAAATTCGAAATGTATCATCACGGTTAGCTTTTGCCATTTTAAATACACCTGGAATGTCAAGATTATTGTAAGTAATAAATTTCTAAAAAATTATTCAAATTTTAACGAATATCAGCAGAGTCAGCTAAGATGAAAGAAATTCGTATTTTCTAAATAACGACATCTGTCAGGCGAAGGTATTTAACTAATTGTTATCTTCATTAATTATCTATATCCACACATAGTATAAATATCCGCGATAAAATTTTCTTACTTTTAATTGTAATAAGACATGAATTCGGTTGACGACAAATTTTAAAAACGATAGATATTCTGGGTAATTTAACCGCCAATAAGAAAATTGTATTAAACGCATATATAAGTGTATATGACTTATGCGTATTATTTAACCATATTCAAATACATATATAGTAATACAAAAAAAATATTTATATAAATATATCTTATATAAATACCTAAGGATTACTTGAGTGTGCACCTTGCATTTAACCAATGTCGTGTCATAGAAATTCCCCTTAAATCGCTTCAGTTTCTTAGGACAATATGGCGGTTATGCTTCTTATGATCAGTGTAGAAGGCATTTGACGTAGTATCGTCGAATTTCTAGATTCATAGTTATTGCAGGACGCTTCGCATTAAGAAAAATCCATTAGAATATTAAAAAAGTGTTTAAAAATAACGTTAGGATTTCAATATGGATCTTCTTCGCACCCTGACCACCATGAAGAAGAAATAAATGGTGTTGGCATTAAGAACTCTGCGTTATTGTGTTCGCTACCAATCGTTTGGAACGAGAAACGAAAATTTCAAGTCAGTGCTGGCAACTTTTTACTTCATTTTCTGTCCATTAACAAGAAATTCATGCAACAAATTTTGTTTTGTAGTCTGTAATAATATTGTTAGGGTTATTGGGTCTTACCAGTTACTTATAAATGTGCGCAATGCAGTACGATTGTTGATCACATGTCGAAGACATCGATTAACAATTCAAAGCATTGTTCATTAATAAATTAATAGTAATTAATAATATCATGATAACGAGAAATGATATGCGATATTTTAAAATGTATTTTTATTTCTCAATATCGTTCATCATTCATAATTATAATGAAAAAAATGTTGCTTTGCTTCAACGATATTTATCGTATTTTTGTAATATTATATATATAAGATTGTAGAAAGATAATAATTTTCTAAAAATTTACAAGATATTCCACATGTGTAGTTCAATAGACTACAACATTACTAATATTTTTTTTAATTATACTTATGTTTCTTATATTCCAATGAAGATAAATCTATCTGATTCATATGTACTCGACTACAATTTTCACAAACATGTACTTTAATAATACTTTTCATAAAATTTGAAAAATATAAGAAATAAAATATCTGCAGAATATGTATCATGTAAGGATAAATGGATACTTGCAATTTTTGCTTAACCCCCTGATTGCTATAGACACATCTATACATTTATTGATATAAATGCAAATAATGCTATTTCAAATTAATAATCAATATTCTTGTCCCAACAGTATATTAATATATATGAGTTTCAAAGGGAAAATTGAAGACAGTTAATAAATTTTGATGAACA